ACGTGCACACTTGCATTAATAAATGAATTGAAATAACATTTAAGAATTATTTATTACAAATGTTTAATGTAACAAAAAGGCAAAAACAAAAACGAAAAAATAATAAGATGAGTCATAATAATGTTAAGTATATACATTGTAATTAATTTTTTAATTTAATTATGATTTATTTCTAATCACTAGACCTGAACTTTTTATTCTTAAATTTAAATCTCAAATACTCAAAAATAAAATGATATAATAGAACTGGACCGATATATACCGCACTATTCAACTTAGGACTTTGCATATTCAAACTTTTAATTTGAAATCATTAACCATTTTTTGTTGTTATTTGAAAATATAACTCTAATCCCTAAATAATACAAGTGTTTTGAACATTTTATTTTAAATATAGCGAAAAATAACGTGAAATAGCGCAAAATAGAGTTAAAAGACATGATATTTCAGCATTTTGCGTAAGCCTTTCGGAAAAAATGTTAAATATATAAAGCTACGCGCATTTATTTGATAAAAAAAAAATATATCGAGCTACATAAGAGCTATTTAAAACAATAGATACATGAGAGTCACTCATAATAAAAATGATATATTTGTTTTTCTTTTAAGTTTTTTTAGAAAGCATTTAATTAATTCAACTAAATTTGATAAAATTCCGGATATCTCCCTTTAACATATAAGAAAAAGTTGTAGGGCTTAGAATCTTGACATGTGTCCTTTTTATGCCCAAAATGTCCACTCATGTATTTGTTCTTTGTTTTTAGGTTCACATGCTTAATGAGGTTAGTATGGTCATTTACTTTCATTCTTCTTCATCCATTTTTCCCATTGTAAATTGTAAATGCGCCACTTCTTCTTTCAAGCCGCCTCTGTTGTCTCCGTATTCTTCGCTTTTAGCTGTTTTTACTCTGCTTAAAGTTTTGCCCCTTTGTTATCAATTTCTTTCTTTTTCTTCTCTTTTCACATTGAAGAAACTGAGTATGAACTGCAGTTCCGTTTAGAAAATTTTTCGCTTACCATTGTTAGAAATTTGAATTGGGATTTTATCTGAAGGTTGTCTGCTTCTTTTCGCCTCCGTTTGCATTTGATTTTTTTTTAAAGCGTGGTTCAATTTTGGATAAGGTATACACTTGTATTCATCTGCTTTTGGTTATGGTTGGATGGGCTTCCTCTTGCCCTTTTCTCTGTATCTTTGTTGTGTTCACTTTTTTTAAAAATAAAAGGCGTGTTGTCGTTCAAATTTGGTGTGTTTTTATTGGGGTGCATTGTGTCATTCTATGTGCGTGTGGTATCAGGTTTCAGTTTAACATCTTTGCGGGCTGGGTGCGCGGGTTGTGGTGGGTCTCATTTCGGCCAACCTAAGCCTTTTCTATGTGTGATTTGCAGCTGGCTTATGGAAATTGTGCAGCAATCAGGAGGTGGTGAGGCTTCTGGGTTGGCCATAAGCAAACGACAATCTTCTCTTAATAATTGGAGCCTGGAGGGCCAAGAAACAACGGTTAGCTCAGTGTACTTTGTCGTTTTCCAGTGCGTGTGCTACACCTCGACCGAACTTAAGGTCTGACGGCCAATGAAGTGGTCTTCTGCCGGGCTTTGTGCCTACCAGTACTGGCCTGGAAGGCCAACAGCCACCAGGTGTCATTGTCTGTTAAAGAAATGTGCTTTTTTTGGGGTGTACACTGAATAATGCCGCATTTCTGTGGCCGTGATTTGAATCATTGTGTAATCAATGATTTTCTGGTTTCGCTGCATGTTTTGGCACCCTCACTTTGGCAGCTAATGTGAGTTTCGTCGATCATTCCGGTGGGTGCTTTTGGGGTTGGATTTGAATATTTCTTTTAGATGGTCTTTTTGTACATGTAGATTATACTGATTCCAGTGATTGTTGGTGTGGATTTATGCAGGTGTGGCTACAAGTCGGCCATGTGGGCTGAGAAGTGTTCGTGCCTCAGGTTGCTTGTTGTGTAGTTGCTCTGTATAGTAGTTTTGTTTATTTATAACGATGAATGGGTTATTCTTACGGACAAACTCTTTCCATGTAGCGCGTGGGTATTGAGATGGTCGTGCTATTCTTCTTACCTTGCCTTCGGTTTCTGCTACTTTGCGGGCACGAAGCACATGTGGTCATTATGGCGCTGCAAGATTACAGTTTGAGCCGCCAAAATCTTGTTGTGGTGGAGGTAAGGTTAGATTATCATCTCATTCGCTGCCCGTAATTTTGAAAGAACTTTTGTTTTCGCAGACATGTGAGGGTAGACTTTTCAGGGATTGCATAAGAATAATAAACAACCAATTTGCGTTTACGTGTTTAGGAGTTAAATATGATAAAGAACTTGGAAAATGCAACAAAGGCATCTATACATTTCGAATCCAAGGCCAAATGTACCATTTTTTTAATGATTTAGAATCCTCGAAAATCTCCAGCTTTACTGTCATGATACTGAACATGAAATTGCTAATAGGCTTGAGGCATGCCCGAGGCTGACTGAAAGTCTGGCTGTTAAGATAATGAAAGTATTGGACATCAATCCTTATGCAAAGTTCTTTCGGGGCCTAAAAAAATGGACCATTTTGATAATTGTCAGATTGTGCTGCGTTCGGTGCCTGGTTCGGACCAGAGGGTGTATAATCAGCCAAATGAACATGAGGTTGTTGTGTTGTTAGTTGGTCAGGACAGCGAGGAGCCGAGCCATAGGGACATTCGTGTTAGCAGTGTGGCGGGAGGTTCGATAGCATCCAGTACTATTATGGTTGTTATGATCCCTTACAGTACCCCCTTCTTTTTCTTTTTGGTCAGGTGGGCTGGCATCAAGGGATAGAAAAAATAGGTTTTAGGGATCCCACAAGGCCGACCCAGCGATGTACCTCTGTTCGTTTAGTTACGGCTGCTGGTGCAATGAATGCTGATGACTTGTTGTTTCGTGAAGAGACTGGTTAGTGTGTTCTGTTGTCGAAAGTATGCCCATATTACTTTAAACATGTGTATTTATTAATTTGTGAATCTTTTTTCATATTAAGCTGCCTCTACAAAGCCCGACGACCAGCGCTTTGTGTCTGCAAGGGATTATTATTGTTATAAACTGCAGGTGCAGGTGCGTGATTCTGATGATTCTTTTTGTTGCACTTTGGAAGGTTGTTTCAGCAGTATATAGTTGACATGTATGTTCAAATAGAAACTCAACGATTGGATTTTTATAAGATACAACAAATAGAAATGAGGAATGAGGTCCTCCAGGGAGTTCATGATTCTTTCGCGGCTGGTGAAACAAATGCAGGCAAGATAGGGCAGCGAATTTACTTGACTTCTGGTTTTATTGGTGGGCCAAGAAACATGAAAAGATGATACATGGACGCAATGACATTAGTTCAAAAATTTGGAAGGCCCGATATTTTTCTAACAATGACGTGCAATCCAAATTAGCCAGAAATCAAGCCATTGTTGTCTGTAGTTGATGAATCCCAAAACAGACCTTTATATGATAGCCAGGCTTTTCAGAGCTAAACTATAGGAACTAAAGAATGATCTCTTGAAGAAGCACTTGTTTGGTGAGGTTGCATCATACACATATACAGTTGAGTTTCAACAAAGTCGCTTGCCCCATGCGCACTTCCTTCTCATTTTGTGCCCACATTTTAAAATGTACACGCCTAATGAATATGACAAGATTGTTTGCGCTGAAATTCCTGACAACCAAAAAAACCCCCATTTGTTTGGTCTTGTGGTGAAGCATATGTTGCATGGCCCTTGTGGTGAGATGAACCCCGAAAACCCGTGTATGAAAAAAGAAAAAAAAAAGTGTAAGAACTTTTTCCCAAAACAATTTTGTGACGAGACTACACACGTTAGTGATGCGTGTCCTAGGTGCAGGCGAAGGGACAATAATGTTCATGTGAGGGTTAGGGGTCATCAATAAGATAATAGATGGGTGATTCCATATAACCCATACCTTTTGGCAAAGTTTAACTGCCACATTAACGTTGAGCTGTGCTCTACAATACAAGCAGTTAAATATATATATATATAAATACATTTGCAAGGGCCATGATAGGATCGCATTTTACGTTGATGCTAGCAACCCACTTAAGAAAATTGATGAAATAGAGCAATATAGAACTGCACGGTGGGTGTCTCACCGGAAGCTGTATGGCGTATTTTTAGATTCTCACTGGGTGAAATCAAGTCGGCTGTGATACATTTACAGATACACCTAGAGAATTACCAACGAATTTCATTTCGGAAAAAGGATAGATTACAGAGTCTTGTTGATAACCCTCGGAATAGAAAAAGTATGTTGACTGAATTTTTTTACATGAATCGTGTGGACGAGTATGCACAGGCTTTAAACTTGACATATACAGAATTCTCAACATATTTTGTTTGGTTGTCTGAGGAAAAACGTTGGAAAAAAAGAGATCAGCAAGAATCAATAGGCCGTTTGGTTTCTGTACATGTTTCTGAAGGGGAAAGATATTATCTAAGGATTCTATTGTCTAAAGTGCGTTATCCTAAGTCCTTTAATGATTTGAAGTGTTTTAATGGGAAAACGGCTGTAAGTTTTAGAGAAGAAGCGCTCATGCTTGTCTTGCTTGACGATGACAATAGCCAAGAGATGTGTTTGCAGGAAGCATCCGAATATCAAATGCCTTATGAGTTGCGCCGTTTGTTTGCTAATTTGTTGGTGTACTCAGGACCTGCTAATCTTAAGGCACTGTGGCTGAAGTTCGAGCGTGCTATGTCCGAAGGTCTTAATGCAAATAGTCAGCTGTCTGCAGAAGAGGTTAGGAACCAGGTGTTGTCTCAAATTAACGGTTTTCTAGAGTCGATGGGTACAAGTTTACGAGCCTTTAACCTTGTGCCTGCAAATACTTCATTTTTGGGTGAACGCTACACGAGAGGTGGCTGCAGAGAGAAACTTTGTGGTTCTGAGGAAGAGCTGAATACTGTACCATGCTTAACAAAGAACGAAAAAATGCGTATGACACAATAATGGCTCGAATTGATGGGAAACAAAAAGGCACTTTTTTTTATTGACGGCCCTGGCGGAACCGGGAAATCTTTTCTTTACAGTGCTTTATTAGCAACCATTCATTCTAAAGGTGGTATAGCTCTTGTGATGGCGACATCTGGGATAGCTGCATCCATATTGCCGGGTGGCAGGACGACTCATTCTAGATTTAAGATACCCATTGATTTGTCCACTTCACGTACATGTAGGATAAGCAAGCAGAGCAGCATAGGTTGTTTGATTAGAGAGAGCAAGTTGATAGTTTGGGACGAGGCGCCAATGGCAAAAACAGATGCTATTAAGGCACTTGATAAAGCTTTGCAAGATTTGTGTGGTTGTGTGGATATTTTTGGTGGGAAAGTTATAGTTTTTGGTGGTGATTTTAGACAAGTGTTGCCTGTTGTTAGACGTGGCAGTAGAAAGGACACTGTTTGTGCGTGCATTATCAGCTCTGATGTGTGGCCATCTCTGGAGAAGCTTCAGCTTGTGGAAAACATGCGTGCATGCTTGGACCCTCTTTATATGTCTTTTTTGTTGAGGGTTGGTAATGGTGAGGAAAAAACTTTTGGCGACGATTTAATAAAGATACCTGAACCCCTTGCGTTGGCTGATCCATTGCATGAATCCTCATTAGATGAACTCATTAGCGCAATCTATCCAGATATAACTAATGTGGGTGGCAGTGATTTAATAGTCAATCGAGCAATTTCAACGAAAAAAAACGTATTCATGGATGAGGTGAACAGCAAACTCGTAGCAACTTTTCCTGGTGAGTTAGTCGAATACCTTAGTTTTGATGAAGTTGTCAATCCGTCTCATGCCGCGGAATATGGCGACTTGATAACTTCCCTGACATCGAGTGGTATGCCAGAGCATAGGGTTCAACTAAAAGTGAATGCGCCTGTAATATTGCTTCGTAATTTAGATCCTACTGAAGGGCTCTGTAATGGTACACGGTTGGTGTGTAAGAAAATGGACAAAAATCTCATACATGCACAGATAGCGGTTGGGGATTTCTTGGGAAAGGATGTATTCATACATAGAATACCCTTTGAGCCACCTGAAGAAGAACAATACCCTGTTCCATATATACGTAAACAGTTTCTGCTCAGACTTTGCTTTGCAATGACAATAAATAAAGCACAGGGACAGACACTGGACCATGTTGGTATCTATTTGAGAGAACCAGTTTTTTCGCATGGGCAGCTCTACGTTGCTTTGTCCCGGGCAAAAAAAGCAGCGTCCGTTAAGATGCTTATACAACCTCCTTTCGGTGATGGCAATCTTGTTAATTTGACAGAAAATATAGTATATAAAGAGGTTCTCCAGGCTGCAAATATCATCTTGCAGCATTAGGTTTTCCAATGTCGCTTTTGGGATTGTACTGCCTCAATGTGTATGATGTGGGTGCATGCCTTGTTGTTGTGTTGTTCTTCCTAGCTTTTATGTTTTTTGAAGGTCATGCTTGATTAAAAAAAAAAAAAGATTTTTTTTAGTTCTTTAGCTTTACTAAGGTTTGTGTGCATAATAGTGGGTTTCCGCTTGAAACAGGCCGAAAACTACCTTCGCAACAACCAGGGGGAGTTGGATTATACTTTTGCTCGCTGAATTCTTTTTCCAGAGTGCACTTTTGAACAGTTCCATTGCCGTTGCTGATTAATTTTTTGTTTTTTCCATGCAGGGTTACTGTGTGCTGCAGCTCTCAGAGGGCACAATACACGAACTATAGACGCTGTATAGTGCTACTCATACAAGTTGTGTTCTGGTGCTCTTTAGTTTGTCAGTTGTGCATGATTAAACTTTTTTATACTCCCTGCAAATAAAGACGCCGTGTTGGAGAGCGTCTATGGTTTCGTCGTGGTGTCTTCATGGTATCTTCATGAAGTGAAATGAAGGTACAGAACCACTTTACTAGACGAGCGTGTTTACATTTTTTTGTTATTAGATATAAGGTTTTGGGGAGAAAATATTTCCGTTGCGGATAAAATTTTGATGAAAAAGAAAAAAAACAAAAAACAAAGAGAGAAAAAAGGCAAAACGATATTTTTTTATAACCATTGCAAAGAGGGTTGTGACTTTTGATGATTGTGTAATCTCTTTAATGGCTTGTTTTATTTCTCTATTCCTTGATTATATTGTGACTTTTGCTTACAATCTCTATGTACTTATGCAGTAGTCCTATGCAGTGTTTCTAATTTTTTATTTTGCAGCCACCCACTTAGTCCAGTGGATTTTAGTCCCACCTCTGAAATAGATGATGCATATGGTGCTTTGCATTTCAGAGGTACTATAATGTGGTTCACCCGCGAGATACAATGATCATGACAGGTAAAAAATGACTATTTTTTACCTCTATTTAGCGTGTTAACCTAATTTCGAGTGTGCTGAATATATTAGTTGTTCGTAAATAGTTCGCATTATTATTTCATTATATAAACATAAGGTTGGGTTTATGACAAGTATATCCTGCATTGGTTTTTTAACTCTCGTTGTTGGCTATCTGAACGGATTAGTCAATGTAGTTCATATTTTTGTCTTTTTTTTCCCCCTTAATTTTACGCTACTTATTTATCTAAATAATTTTATTGTTTTTTTGTTGTATTTATATATGTCAGTCTTAATTACTATTTGAAATTCAGTGTTCCCTAAGGAAGCCTCACAAATTAATCAACTTTTTATATGCAGCCATTACCGACTGTTGTAGAACACCATTATGCCACTTCGCCGCCGCATGAGTGCATTCGCGAGACAGTTAAAGCCCGTGACTATGCTGTGAACCTTCAGCTGGTGGGAGGTAGGGCCACGCTGCAAGAAGGTTGAGATACTTCTCTTCAAGTTAAAGCATGCCGTTAAGGCCCATTTTGGTGTTCGAAAGCGAGAGCCTTTTCCATTTTGAGGTCGCAATACTCTTTTAATTTGGAAATAAAGAAACGTGCGTCGAGCTAGCGCACTTAGTAAGTAATTGTTTTTACTTGCTTCCACCTTTGTTCACAGACACAAACCACATGTTAATTCTATTTAATTGAGACATAAAGATAGCACTGACATCAAATTCTTATACACGCAGTCACTTCTAATGCAATTTTGGACGAGGCGCATTGAGGATCACTTTAACGACTACTCTCCGGCAATCCTTAGGCTGAGCGAGAAAAAATATGTACCTTATGTGATTGAAGGACACAGCAATAACCTGTTGCAAAATTGTGGTGCCCGTGACTTCGTTGATGACAGTTCCGTTATTGAGGGGTCTTTCTCTAAATCAGAGTTGGCGCCCTGTAACGCCCCGTCTTATGAATAATAGAATAAGACCACTTGCATTTCATTTTTAGCTCGATTTTGCATTTAAATGAATTAATCCAATAATCAAATTAAGTAGATGTCCTCGTCTACCTAATTTTCTTATTTGTTTATATGCTTAAATTGTTTTAATAGTTTAATTGCTTAGTTATTTAATTGCTTAATTATTTCTTTAACTCGCTTAATTATTCGTGTGCTCGTTTATTGTATTTTCCTAAGTTAACTAAGTTGCGCATGCCAAAGATTTTCAAAAATTCAAGCTAAGTTCGGCCATTTTCTATTTTGGAGCCTAAACTGATTTTGTTCTAGAGTCTAATTAGTAATTTTGGCCTAAGTTCTATTTTCTTGCCCAAGTCTCGAAATTTTGCCAAGTCCTAAAGTACTTGTTCTCAAAACAGAGCCTAGCACCTTAAAGTCTCGGCTTTAACTAACTCCAGCTTATCATCAATTTTGAAATTTAAAGAGTGACCAAGTCATGCCACTTCAAACCCTCACACTTTCAGCCACACCATGCTTGGAGAAAAGTCAAAGAAAACTCTACAACACCTCCAACAAATCCCTAAGGACTCGGTTTTCTCAACCTCCACGTGCTCCCAAAACGATTATCTCCACCATCAGCCTTATAATCCACGTTTGAAAACCCAACTCCATAATTCAGATCCATTCTTTAAAATGTTCAGAAAACTAACATCAGCAGCCCTCATTTTTATCCTCATCATATTAGCCAACAAAAGCAATTATCCCCAGACCTCAAAAATTTCTTTACCCGCAGCAACCGAGAGCTCGCCGCAGCAGCCTTCACGTGAGCGCCGGGTAACCCGAACAGAGGAGGCTTGACAGCGGTGAGTTTCGGACCTTTTCGGAGGTCCTAAGGTCGACATTTTTCCAGCCAACAGCCGAAAAGTCGTACCCAGCAACCAAGCCGAGACCTAGCCCGTTCGAGCCTTATTTTATCCCGTTTCTTTAAGTCTTTTTTTTAAGGTAATAAGCTTAACCCTTTTACTCTCTTAATGTGGCGGAACTAATGTTAAGGACCAGTTGTTAGGTGATTAAGTGGACATGCTTAACTTAGCGTAAAGTTGAGAAAGAAATGAGTTGCGTTTCATGAGTTTTTATGCTTTATGTGTATGACTCTTTGCTAATTTGATGTGATGTCTTTAATGTGCTGTAAATGGAGAATTGACAGAGTTAGTTCAGTAACTTGGGGCCTTATATTGGTGTTAAAAGTTGAAGAAAAATCGGCATTAAGAAATAATGAAAATGAAAGAGGCTTTAATGTGTTTATGATATCATGCAAATTTCATGTTGCAATTGTTAATTTTGCTGATCTCATTTTGATGATTAAGCCTGCTGTTAAGGTTCAGTTTAAGAACTTTTAATTTTCAGTTATGCTAGCCTAAAAGTTAACCTTGAATTTAATAGATAAAGACATTATTGTTTTGTTAATTGTTCATGCAATTTCACCTTGATTTTTTTAGCCTGAGACGTGTGGATGTTATATGCTGTGCATTATTATTTATTTTGAGCATGTTTTAAGTTTTATTGCCATGTTAGGATTTGATAAAAAAAATGTCTTAAAAAAAAAAGGGGAGAAAAGTTTAGTGCTGTCGCATTTCTTTTGTTAATAGTGTGTGTTATCAAAGCTGCTGCATGTTTCATTTGGTTAAAGAATATTTGAGATGGTGTAAGTATTAGTGCTTTTATCAATTATAATAAAGTTGATGTCAACATGTGTTTTGAGTTTAGGATATTAATTGAGTTATTGCATTTGATTAGTGAATTTCAATATACTTTTAAGTGCTGCACGATTTAGAAAGCAGTTAATTAAATTGATGTGATATTTTTTAATCTGTTTATATTTTTACCAAATTATATGCTTATATTTGGCGTATGTGTCCTTCGTGATTTAATTGGTTATTTTGCATTTTAATCGAAACTCTAATAATAAGACTTAATAATCAAAATTGTAGATTAAGAGGAGTCGAGCCCTTAATCAGTCGCACGTGAATTCATTCATTTCAGCCAATCAGTAAGTTTAAAAGGTGGGGATTTTCCATGCTATGTTCTAATTCTTAATAAACGCAAGGTATTTATGTTTGAGGTATGTTTATATTGATA